GAGGAGGAGGATTGTAGCTCTATTGACAAATGATCTCGCATTAGTCGTTATTTCTATTTTTCTTAATACAAATCTCTGAACTATGCTTCAAAAGTACACATTATGGATGAAATGAGACATTACTGTAAACTATGAAACGATTCATACTTCATTTGTTCATGCTATTTTAGTACAGAAGAGAGGTTTGCATAACAGAAAACGGAAGAAAGACAACCTATATATACTGCCAAGAGGTCAGCTCATAAATAGTTTCTACTTAAGTGTGTTCTATTTTAGTTTCTCATCATTGATGCATGTATTAAAATGTTTTCTGCTAAATTTAGTTGAATGGCCGAATTACCAAATTTCTAGTGCCAAAATGATGATCTGTTTTTATTGCTCATGATATGTGTTTCTGTATATTTAAGTATTACTCTCTTTAGCTGTGAATTTCAACACATTGAGGTAGAAATCATTTGTCTATCTGAATTTGTGTATACCTATTTCAGTGGTGAAACCTGAAAAGCTGGTATCTATTACATTGCAGACTTCTAGCCTTATTTTATATTTTTTAAGTTTGAATGTGTAACATTATTATCGCACAAAATTAAAAGAAATATTCTTTGCCCTTTCGAAAGCAAGTAGTATGCTCTCACAAAAAAAAATAAAAAATAAAAATAAGAGGCAACTTCAAAACTCTGCAATCGGAATACTTTTTTTTCTCTCTATTTACACCATTGATTTACCTCTGAAGGAAATGTCAATGGAGGCGCTGTGCGTTTGGCCCTCAGAAACACTCCCCATTGAGAAAGATCATTTGCAAAGTCAGTCACCACAATATTGTCAATTGCATTAAAAAATATCTTGATGTGTAAATAGTAGGCATCTTCATCATGTAGTAGTTATATGTATTTTTATACGAAAATAATTTTGTCCGGAAGAGTTAAGAAACAATAAAAATAGAAAAAGAATCAGAGGCATTGAGATGCAAAGGGAAAATCTAACCTATGAAATGAATTTGTGGAGGAGGTTATTGAATGTATTATGTAAAGCGGGATGGGAACTCTCTGTTTGTGTTTATATCTCACGCTAACAACATCAAAATTATGTTTCCTGTAAATGTACAAAACCACCAAAAATCGTAAGTGCTTTAGCGAAGATCGAAGGAATTGGATGATAGGAATATGGAAGAATTAAAAATACTTGATGAGTTCCATTGCCTAGCGTGGCTGTTTCTGAGATTTTTGTTGCTAGAATATCTTGTTTTTGTGGTGATGACTCTGGTTAAGAGGAGATTTTGCTAATTGTATCTTATCATAACGTTTTTCGAGATGAAGTTTATTGCTCTCTGTCCTGGCCAGTCGTTTCTCAAAATAACTTTTCTCCAATTTTCTGCCTTTCAATTCTCTCTTGAAAACGTTGTAACAAGGTGGGACTGTATATTTTTCTTCTTTCAAGCAGTAGGCATAATTAGGTTGCCTCTGGTGCAATACTAGCTCTTGCTGATCTTTCTATTCTGTTGTTAAGTATTTTTGTTCGTAAGATTTCCCCTTCTTATCCTCAGAAAGAAGGCATTTTTTAATGTTGTGCCATTTTTGTAAGTAGCCCCTAATTTCATGCCTCTAAATCTTTGTGTTCAATATTTTGTAAATTGATGGTATGTTAAGCTCGGATGAAAATTTTAATTAATATTTCTTTCAATTTTTAATTTGACCTCTTTTTATGTTAAATTATTTACCAACCTCCCCTCCCTTCTCGATAAAAAAAGAGTAGAATAGAAGAATACTTTTTTTGAAGAGCTGAGCCGCATATTATTTGTGTATGTAAATTCAATAAGTTTTTCTTGGATAAAATGAGCTTTCGTCGATGAACTGTGAATAATCAAAATTGAAGAAAAAGTACTTTGTCCACTGGACCATTTGAAACTAAGGCGCAAAGCAAGGATGGGTGGTGCATGGATGTTCTCCTGGTTTCTACGGGTATTTCTTATATCGCATACATATAGTTAGTTAGTTATTTAATTTATTTATAGACATTCAGTATCTTAGGCTATTAACGTGGCTGTAGGTTTCTAACGGTATATATGCCAAAGTGTTGGAGGGAAAATAAAAAGAAAAGTATTACCTATATCATTTTTTGGAGTCCAAGCAGAGACAATATATTCTAGAGACTCTGCACTGTCTTTTTACCTACCTATAGTGTAAACGTTACTTAAGGAAGCCAATTCTCTGATTCACTTATTGATGATTCATGGTATTGGATCAACTAAAGCTTCTGAGCAAGTTTTAAGTAAGAATAAACCCTATTTTTAATCTTAATGATCAAGAGTAGGTTCAAAATGCTAACAATTGCAGAAATGCGTAACTCGTGATCAAATGTCCTTCTCCAATTATACAATGCTTAATGATCTGGCCGTATGAGATCTAACTAAATGTTATCTGATGAGGAATTGTAAGCGGGAAACTATTTTTTCAGTCTTTAAATGATCCAAATCCGCCAACAGGTTTAAACTAGTAATTGCAAAAATGTGTATCTCCTGATGAAGTGTCAATTCTTGGTGCCGATAACGCGAATCTCGGCTTTTCTACCGTATTTTCTAACAGTTCGAGAAATTATTCAAAATGCTGATGGAGTCTGAAAAAACATCTTATTCTTGCTATCCTCAATAATCATTACCCTTCTACTAACAATAAAGAGGATTACTATGACAGTCCTAGTAATATGAAAATATGGCAACATCAATCTTGACGCTGAGCTCAAGCTGTACACACTTTGAATTCAGTTCCCGTAACCGATGGACAATAAAAACGTTAATAGCTTAGCTGGAAGTTGATTTCAGTAGTTTTTGTTGCGCCAATCGTGTTCTGCATGAAATTCTATTGAAGAATCATGTATCAGAGTGCTTAAATTCTTAACTTAATTGTTTATTGGCCCATTCAATCTAAAAAAGCGAATATAGAAATTTTTCTTATTTTCTCAGAAAAAATGTTTTATCGGGAGAAACGAGGCAACGTTGGACTGCTCATACGGCGTCGAAACACAACATGGGCCTTTTAAACCCCATTTTTCGATGCTGCGATTATCCTAACGCGAGTTCGAATAATCGCGCCAAACACGGTGCGGTCGGTGTCAAGCTCATATGAGCGCCTGCAAGACTGTAGGAATACTTCATGTATTGCGCCAGATAGTGCGGTCGGCGTCAGGCGCGCATAGCGCCTACAAGACTGCATGAATACTTCTCGCATTGCACCAAACGCAATGTGAGAGTTATTTGCCATAACTGCTCGACAACGGGTAAAGGCACATATTGCCACTAACTGGACTGAAGGAGCATCACATTGTGAAGATGAATCGACACTCGACTGAGCTCCCTTCTCTGCCTTGCAAAACGCCAAAATCTCCGCAAAACTAGGACCACGCGTCATTCCTTTTGACGGCCCCTGCCCGATTTTTGCCACGATTGAAGGGTAAATAAGTATCCTAATTGCAATGATTCAGCAACTCGGACGATGTTCAACGATGCAGCGCTTCTGAAACTTGATTCGCGTAAAATGAATGTTGGTTTATTAAAAAGAATAAAAAACAGAACGAACTGAAATATCGCGACGGTTTTTTTTTTTTTGTGATTTTATTTCAAATCTTTCCGGGAACTTTTCGGAAACTTCTATAAAAACTGTGTGTAGCTTTTTAAAAAAAAAATTGATTGAAAAAAAATTCGTAGAGATTTGCAACGTTGCAATCGGAGATAAGAAAACTTTTTTCCGCGTGCAGGCGTCGATTTTTTATTTCATTTACGGCAGGCGTAACGAGATAACTATTCGGCCATGAATGTAGGCATATTGCCGCTAGCCGAATGGAAGGCGCGTCAGTCACACTGCAAAGATGATTCCACTGCCTTCTCCCCTGGCTCGCGCGACGCTGAAGTCTTTGTTAAACTAGGATTACTTGTCATCATTCTTGCCTCTCTGATATGGTTTTTATCATAAGGAAAGGGAAGGGAAAATATCGATGGTGAAACTACCAAACCACGTATCTCGGTTTGCGACGTCGCAGACTTCCTGTCATACTTTATTTTTTAAATGAAAAACTACTTAATGTCCAGTCTTGAGAATTTCTGTGATTTTTCCTCTTCGTGCGAAGAAAATTCTGTGAAAATTTCAAGGAATGATATTGATTTGGTCTATTTCAAAAAAATAAAATGTGAGCGTAGATTTTTAAACACCGCAAACGAGATACGTGGTTTGGTAATTTCACCGTCGATATGTGTCTTTATTGTAACGATTCAGAAACTCGGAAGATATTTATTTATTTATTTTTTTGTTACATACTTAAAAAGAAAATGGAAGAACGAAATTATCGTGTTGAAATTTTCGATGCTTACATTTGAGGTCATTTAGCAAAATTCGTGGAAAAACTGTGTGTAGCTTTTTAAAAACGGTGTACAAAAATAAAACAAAAAAATTGGTACACAACGTTGCAATCTGAGGCGAATATGCTTTTTTTATCCATTATCTCTTAAATAACTTGAACGTGGTTGTTCTACTATTTTTTACGCGTAGCTTTTCTAAGTGGTTGGCGGCCGTGTAGCGGCCTCAGGCCTCCAGTGGAGATATAATTCGACGGTGAAACTACCAAACCACGTATCTCGGTTTGCGACGTCGCAGACTTCCTGTGATACTTCATTTTTTAAATGAAAAACTACTTAACGTCCGGTCTTGAATATTTCTGTGATTTTTCCTCTTCGTGCGAAGAAAATTCTGTGAAAATTTCAAGGAATGATATTGATTTGGTCTACTTCAAAAAAATAAAATGCGAGCGTAGATTTTCAAACACCGCAAACGAGATACGTGGTTTGGTAGTTTCACCGTCGAATTGTAACAAGATGATTGTAATCTCTCAAATGTTGATGATCCTAGCGATTATACCGCCAAATAATCGTAGAATAATCGGAACTCAATTTCAAAATATCGCAATTTTACCGTTGAAAAATTCTGTTTGGGTACCAGCCGCTATATTTCACCAAAAAAAAATGCACAGAACAATTATTAGACTTTAAAAACACCAATTTCCATGCTTTTTTCGAGCCCACCTGAACACTTTTCTTTCTGCCGTCGAGTCGCCTGTATCTTTGCGTGATTCGATTTAGTGCGCACTGATGTCATGCAATCGACAGTCCGGACTTAATCACTCCCCGCAGATTTTTCAGTTCGCATGGAAAATACTATATTTTTGACGATATTGGCCACGCCAGACTTTTGAACGAGCGTCATACAATATGCCTTGCAGACGTGTACCCATGTTTGCCCCAATCAGGAAGGGGGGGGGGAAGAAATGCACGTCCTTGGATGATTTCAGCACGCAAGGAGCAAAATTGAATTTTAGCAGAACATTGAATTGATACGCCTCACTTTGCAGTTACGGTCCGATGTTCCCTCGAAAAATGCATTCTAGCGGGTTGATTGCTTTTGGCGTCGTGGTGCTTGTAACAAGCGTTGTCGGAGGTGCTACAGAGGTATGAGGATAAAATCATTCCAACTACCTTCTTATCTTCTTTTACAATATTTTTACCTTGTTGAATGTTCTTTCGGTGACTGTGATATATTTTTAATTTGCTTTTCTTGTATGAAGTAGAACCAGCCCAAGTAGCACAGCGCAACGAAAATATTGAAATGAAATTGCAATTTGATTTCAATAATATTGTAATTTGTATACCATTTAATTGCAATAATTTTACATAATTTAATTGATTCATGCCGATTTTAAACAATCAATCAAATCAGCTTCATGTGTCAGAAATACAGGCAAAATGCAATGCAATGAGAAATTGCAACTTATTTAAATTTTATTGCAATAAGTTTCAATAGATGGAGCCCCTTCAAATGGGAGCTAGGCAACATACACAACACTCAGTGGATTTGCAGTATTTTTACTATGTAATTGCTATTTATTGCAATCTGTGATACTTGGGAAGAAGACATCGATGGCTGAGGTCGAAAAGTTCGTATTTCCAACTACCTATTGTTAAGTTTTAAAATCTACGAGATTTTTTTCTGATAATATCTCTAATCCTAATTTGTTGATTATTTTACAATTTAAAACCACTTCCTTTTGAAGTGCCATACTTCGTTGAGTTTTCGAAATTAAGACCAATTAAGTTGTTTATGATCGGCATTCCTCTCGTAGTCACAGACAGTTTTTTTATTTCATCTTGGCGTTATCACGACGGTAGAAAGTACATTTCTGCTTTATGGGTGAAACCGGTTCCAACTGACTAAGTCTTTATGGATTTAGTTTCCGTGCAAGAAAAATGCTCTCGACATCGGTTTTTAGTCTAGTTGTGTAGCTATACCTACAGGGCCTGTCAAAAACGGTATGAAGACACTCATCGGGAGCTCCGTCAAGCAGACGCAGAAGAGCTTCAGGACGTATTTGTCAAAAGCTAAAACTGGATCTTCCTCGTAGAACGTCTGAAAAAGTACAAAAGAGGTCCTTTGGGGCTCTGCAAAATTTCTTAAAAAGGGGCAACTGAGGGGGTTGGAGGACAAGGCGCATAAGTTCAGTTTTTACTATTTCGAGAAATTCAGGTTTGAAGTTTCAAAATTAAACGGATCCTCATGGCGGAAAGATGGTTCGAACTGACTTTTTGATGCTTAAAAATTGGAATTTAAGAGAGAATTTTTTACGGAATATGCATTAAGGCTAGTTTTACTGCAATCTTTAAATATCTCAATTTCTGCAAAAACTGCACTTATGCGCCTTACCCTCCAAGCCCATCAATTTTGACAGCATTTGTGTGGCGATTACCTACCCCGTTGTTCCGGGCCAGCCTGCCGCACAGTGGATTGAGTCTGTAGGAGAGGTCGGACAAAATTCGGAAACTTTAAACGCTCAAAACTCCGTTTGTACAAAAATTGGACCCTCTAAAAGTGATTTCCCTAGTTTCCTCGTAAAATTTTCTTCTCAAAGCACCCCTTGAGATTTAAAATGTGACGAAATAAATATCAAAATTTGCAATGTTAGTGAAAAATTTAATGTCCAACCTCTTTAATTGAGTCGATCCACTGCGCACCGCGCCGTTGTTGGAATCCTATGAGTACACCGTGCAAAAAAGTTATGGAACACGGTACGTACAATTTTTAGCACGGAAATTGGATTTTTGAGTACTTTACAGTACTTAAGTGTTTAATTGGTCGTCAATTGTTTGGCTTTCAGAATCCTGACGCTGATAAAGAGATAGTAATTCACGAACCTGCTGAAGCTTTCAAGCGCGTTATTAACTATGCTGATCTACTGAGGGCACATGTTGAGAACCTGCGTCAAACGATCCGAGGATTCCTGCAAAACAGCGTAACCGTAATGGACACGACCAGGAACATTTTGAGAACCGAGAAAAAGCAAGCCAAGTCAATCAAGAATGCCGCCTCCGAGGCCATTAGGTCTTTCTCTTCCTTTAAGGCCAACTAATAAAATTGCATGGAGGTGTACATTTTAACATTTAGAGAATGGAAGTTATAATACTTGTACCTACAGATTGTGTTTATTTACGATGTATTTGTATTTTAAATCAGTGAATAAATTACCTAATCCTGAAACTAGAACTTTTGTAGCGTCGTAGTCATTGAAGTTGATGTGGTTGATTGCATTATGACATGATATCAATGAGGTATGAAAGGGATTTTAGATTTTTTCAGGCCCGTACAATCTGCTGAGTATAAAATGATGTATCTATGAAAATCGAAGACCTCATGAAGCAAACTTGAAACATGACCATGTATGAAAAAAAATGAAGAAAAAGGAAGGCAGCAATAATTCGTTTATTGTGGGAAATAAATTTTCAGGAACACTCGCAACTGCTTTCGATGAAAATGTTAAGTGCACCCACGTTGAGTTTCTGAAGTATAGTAGGAGAATGATGAAATCAAACTTGCTTCCCAAAGTTCGCACGTAAATCACTTTTTTATTAGCCGCAAATTTAAAGTATTGTTAAAATGATGAAGGAGAAAAATTAAAAATGTTGCAACCTCTTAAAATTGTGTAGTTACTTGAAAAATGTTTCGCAATACCAGGCAGTGCGTGTTATTTAACAGTTTCAATTCAAAGCAAATCTGACGGCAAGAATTTAGTTCTTTCAATTTAAAAACTCTAGACTTTTACTTTCTTGTTTTTGGTGCATTAGTAGAAGTCTCCAAGAAAAACGGTACATATTATGTTTCCTGTACAAAGCCGACTACCAACGCGCATGGGAAATAAGCGATTAGAAGTAGTGCGGGTTGCGTTCTGGTCTTATCGTAGGCGCGATCTCGTTGCGATGTGTCCGATGCGCCTCCATGCCACGTCAATGCACTGGCCATGGTTCCTCTTCAAGATTTGGTTCATAGACAATTGGACGTATTTCTATCAAACGGAACTATGTGCATTATGACGTGAGCCCTGTTATGCACATATGCTTATGGGTCTCAGGGCTCATGTCTTAATGCACATAGTTCCGTTTGACAGATACGTCCAATTGACATCTCCCAGTGTCTGTAAAAAAACTTCTCCGTCACGTCTTTAAAGGGAATTCGTCAACATTTCTCCATGCCAACGCATGTAATTTTTACTATCCTCTCAAATTTCCAACATACACCGAAAAAAAGGATGCTAATATAACATTCTGGATGTAAAAAAGTGTGCAACAACTTATAAAACGCTGGATTAATCGCCACAGCAGTTCTTTTGGCAACGTCATGGTGTAAAACTAACTGCTGTGGCGGTTAGTTCAGCGTTTTGTGAGCAGTCGCACACTTTTTTACATCCAGAATGTTAAATAAGCATCCTTTTTTTTCGGTGTCGTTCGACTTCAAGTTTTGTAGTCGCCATACTCTGCTGTTTTGGTGGCATCATTAAGCGATTTGATTTTCTCTTTATTGACAATTTGAAGACCAGTGCCTACATAAAATGAGAGAAAAAACCATTAGAGTAAAGGGTGATTTGCAAAAAAAATTCCCAGAGAAAAGCCCTTTTCAGCAGAAATTTTAGGTTGCAGGTTCGAGGCGTTTTTGGTCAAATACTTGACAACAAGTATACTTGTTGAAAACAAAAATTTCCTCTGCAATAAAAAAAATTACCCTTTCCGAGTTTTAATGTATCAACACCCCACAGCAAGGGATATACCTCCTTCATGCACGCTGGCCTTTTCGATTTCCGTTAACATTTTTGCAGTAGTGGATGCATAGTTGAAGTGCGCTACAGCTAGAATTGTATATAGCAAATGAGTAATTTTTATAGGAGCATTATGAATAAACAATTGGTTAGAAAATACAAACAAAATAATATGAACTATGCAAAACGATAATCCGGTTATCGGAACTTGGCTGTTTTGAAAACGCCTTCAAATGCGGCGTGATACCTCACGCATTCCGGAGAGTTCAAATAGTTGTATCATTGCGCCTTATGAAAGTGACGGAAGATTTAAATGGAAATAGCCTCCATGCACGCTGGGCGTGTCGATTTCCTTTGACATTTTTGCAGTGATGAATGCATAGCTGAAGTGCGCTCCAGCTAGAATTGTATTTAGCAAATGGGTGGTTTTTCTACGAGGATTAAAAACGAAACAAGGGTTGCTTGTGAATTCGTAGTGGTTTTCCACGGGTAACACGGGCCCCAGTACCAGGGACCCAGTATCCCCCCCCCCCTTGTGGCGTGCCTCTACCTAACTCACTTCTTTGGAGATATACAAGTCGCACTGTTGTTTTGAAAATCACGAAAAATAATCGTTTGGTGGCTCTAGGTATCTATAGTCGGTTTTAGATATAATGTCTCAAAAATTGCGTTTTAAGTTAAATCAATGGGACCAACGTGGACACGTAGTTTACCCTCCGTACCTCGAATTGGCCATGGCGGAGTGAAGTCCCGTTTTACTTTGGGCCTCACTGAAAAAAAATTCTCGGCGTTTTTACCAAGGTTCGCGTTGGTACCTTTACCATCTCACTTTTTTACCAATTATTGGTAATTTTACCAAGACAGACTGGTAAGCTTACCTAAAAACCGGTATTTTTACTGTTTTTTTCAGGTAAGAATACCACTTTTATTGGTAATCAATTCCCGGTAACTTTGCCATTTTATCTCGATAAATTCTACCACAGTCCAAAAAAAATATTGGCGTTTTTACCAAGGTCCAGTAAAATTATCGAGAAAGTTCAATAATTTTACCGAGATTTTTCGGTAAAATTACCAATACCATAAGTAGTAATTTTACCAAGAAAAAACTGGGATCCAGTAGAACCCTGAATTCTTGGTAATTTTACCCTTTTCTTAGTAAATACACCGAGATTTTTTTCAGTGCACTGCTACGATTAGTAATATGGACGTATTTCTATCAAACGGACCTAAGCGCCATAGGGCGAGGAGGTAGAAAGGGGGCTTGGATTGGCGGCGGAATCGGGCGTCCGGTTTATTCCGTCCTATACTCGCAATGCTTTTCCATGGCGCTTAGGTCCGTTTGATAGAACGCGCTATCCGCATTCTAAATTCCTTAAAAAGAACTCAAGTTGGCGCTTAGTTCCGTTGATAGAAATACGTCCATATCATTCATTTATTAACATGATACTGCACATGACACTAAACCTTATACATTTTCAACAATTAAAACAGCAATGCGCTACATACAGATCGAGTGAACCTACTGAATCGATTCCAATCGTGATTAAATCACTGCATAACTGCACGTGGTGGTTATACCAGCCGGCACAGAGTCCATTATTCCCTATGCGGCTACAGTTTCCTATACTTACACCGACACGCAGTACGTTCCGGAATCTGAGACCGAGAAATTAAGTACACCGTTCAAATTCAGAACGAGCCAAACAAGAGTTAAAATACTGTAATAAAGGCACCTTTGGTGGAATTCCAAAAGGTGGAAACATCGCCTCTTTTAATACAGTTTTTCTCGAATTCCATCTTTCGTCCTCGAACTTCGCATCATTGCCACCGGGTCAACTTTCGAAATGTTAGTTTTTTGCGTCAAATTATGTACGTAGTAAAACATTTTCGTATTTCTGGCTACCTTGAGTTACTTTTTTCAATCAAATCAAGCAAGAATACTTGATTGCTTGACAAAATTTTTGGTTAAATTGACCAAGAGTATAGATTACTTTAAAAAATCTGGGGATGAAGAGAATTTCTTGCTGAACAAAAGTACTCCTTCCTTCTCTTGATAAGTCAGCCATACGTCGAGTTGAAAAAACAAAATTCCCGGTCAAACTGTTCGTTGTTCTGCATTATCCATTAATCTCTTTATAAGAAATTTCCTTTAAGCCGTGGTATAGACATCTCATTTTCCCTCACTGTAAGGCACATTTTGCCTCACTCCATCACAATCGTGAATTTGGGCCAACCATTTTAATGGAGCAGGCCTCATCTCTTCCAAAAAAGCGTTGAGCCTCTTTCGCTAAAAAAAGTGCCCATCTGGACCACGGATAATAATTTAAAAGCCTGGCGAGTTGAAAGTAGAGTCCGGTCGTCTGGCGTGGCGAAACGCAAAGAATGCGCAAGTGCCTTGCAGATGATGGTCCGGTTGGAAGGTGATGTGTTAAGTCAAGTCCGGCCCACTCCAAACTGAGGCTCCAAAAAGGTTAGTGGAACATGATATAATTTTCCGGGAAGTACAAATCATTAAGATGGATGTGTGAGGAAAAGGAGGTGGCTGGTGATTTGGTGAGGAATTCGAATTGACGACGGTTTGTATCACGCTGAAGTATTACCTGCGCAAATGGAATTCATGACATGCAATCCTTCCGATCTGATGCAATCGTGTACATTGATGTACACTGTAAGCGAACATGCACTGGGATATCAAACTTGTTCCCTTAAAATGCTGGTATTTTTTAGTTCTCAGCAACGAACGGTGCGATTGTAAAAGCCGCTAAAGAGCAGCATTTTAACTACTGTAATTTCCGAAAATTTTCTAACCCTACATTTAGCAGACAGTACCTACCTGTGCAAGTACAAAATGTAACAAAATTGCGCATCAAACTAGCCGAACAACGCACAGTGAATTTTTGAATTCGGATGCTTTCGATTTCTTTTAAAGGTTTTGAAAAACATAACTCTAAAACAGCCAGCTGAAATATGTTTCCGGTCCAGGTGCAACTATTCTGTTTCTTGCAATGCAAAAAATGCTAAAAAGTCAAGATAGTATTTTAATATATTTTGTTTGATATCTTAATGTTTATTTCTGGTGTGCCTACAGACGAAGAAAAAGAAGTAGTTTCAAAATTTTGCTTTTTCATTTCTTTAGAAAAATGTTATCAAATATTTCTGGACGAAATCAAAGAATATTCTCAAAAAAGCAGAGTAAAGCACACGCAACTTCCTCCAGTGACGATCATCATCCATCCCATAAAAAAAGTCATAAACGACAGGAAATATCCAACTTCACAAAATGAGACACTTGGTTCCGTGGTTACAAAATCAATATTTGCATGTAATCCTGCACATATTTTTGACACAATGATGATACAGTTGGGTAAAGCTAACTACACTCCTGACATTTACTATTTGGGTAATCCAACATTAAAATTACCACAGAGTCTATTTCTATTGACTAACTCGTATTACC